TAATGTTTAATTATTTAAGTTATTTAGTGTATTATCTTGCAAGTAATTGGACTATGTCAAAATTAGATAACCATCAATTGATTGTTAATTGCCTTTATTTGAATTGTTGATCTAGAATGTTCTTGATAAAGCTTAAAAAAGTTTCAATTTACACCCTTTAGGTTTCATAGTTTTAAATTTCAACTTAATAGTTTTAGGTTTTGAAATTTAAATAGTTAAACCATAATGTTTTGAAAAGTTCAAAACTTGTCCTTAAGTTTTGGAATTTAATTTTTTTTTTATTAATAGTTTAATTAAGTAATATTTAAATTCTAAAACCCTAGCACTTTGAAAAAGTTCAAATTACACCCCTACGGTTTTATTAATTAATTAAGAAAGTATAATTAAAAGAAACTTAATAAATCCAAAATAATTTGGTTTACATTTAATTAAATTAGAAGTGTAATTAATTAAATTAGACCACATAGTATTTTAAAAGTGTAAAATACACCCTTATACTATATATAAATTAAAAGTCTAATATTATATATGTATAACTTAAACTACTAGTCTTACTGTTAGTAGGCATCATTCACGAAGCCAATCTATAAGGGGGTATAAGGTTATGACCTATAAAATGGTCGTTTAATGGGTGTCCACTCTCACCCACCACTTCCTTGATTGGTGGAGGGGCGTTAGCCGAACGTGTAGGATAGGGCAAACCCTCTCCTCATTAAAAGTATAATGAATTATAAAGTAACTAAATGTTTTACAAAATTCCCAATCTTAGTTACTTTAGGCAAAAGTGAATTGATGCAATTCCATGAAATTACACTTTTTACCCTTGATAAGACGTTAGTGGAGCATGTATGGTTAACCGGCACACTAAATGGGTTCTAAGCAAAGGTGGCGAAGGGTGACTCGATGTTTGTCATAGTTCGGTGGAGCGTGTGTGGTTAACCGACACACCGAATAGGTAACTGTAACATTTGGGGCACCATATATATTTGCATGGTTATTTACACCCTGTTTTGTAATCCTTGGCATCCCAGTCACAAATCGAGGGGCATATTGAGATTTAAACATACCATTGAAAAGTTCAATGAATCTCAAAGGATCTAGGAGTTTTCAATACATTTAAAACTTAATCTCTTTTTCGTTTTTCATGGTGGAAAATTAGTGAATTGTCATTCACTTACCTTCAAATGTTTTGCAATTTGGGTTACGACATCCCCCTCCCAAGTTGTAGAGTATTGTGTTGGATCCTGGCCTTAATATCTCATTTGGGTGATTTATTAATGACTCAATCAATCAACTAACTTGAATTTTCTCCCGTTTTGTAGATATCAAAGTATGACAACTCTGATCTTCCCAAATCCCATGGAACAAGTCTTCCATAAGAATATGATATTCCATGATTCGATCGAGGAACAAGAAATCATGCTTCACTTCCTCCACCTCCTCCTATTGTTCTCCCTAACCCACAAGATCAAAGGCTTGAAAAGTTCAAGCTCACTCAAGCCTTGTTGGCGATGAAACATGAAGATGGAAAGTTAGTGTGTGCACACGTCTTAGAGATAAAGTTACACATTGATAGGTTAAGATTGTTGGGAGTCGTTATCTGTGAGGAGACGGCTGTTTGTAACGCCCGTAGATCTAGGCTAGTCAATTTAGAGATAATAGGGGTCGAAAACGACTTTTCGACCAAAGAATGCCGAAATCCAAGTTGTAGAATACGTCTTGAGGGTTCCGTACATATAAAGAACGCCGAAATCCAAGTTATAACGAAGAAGTTATGGCCCGTCGAAGTTTTACGGCAAAACCGGCACGACACCGGGAGACGTAAATACTGAATTTATGATGGAGGTCTTTTTAGCCTTAGTAATTTAAAAAAAGTCGTAGAATATGTTATACTGAGAGCGTCCATAAAAAGAACGCTCAAATTTGACTTCGTATGAGGAAGTTATGAATTTTCTAACATTTGGGATAGTAGTGCACGACCCGAAACTCGAATTTTAGTTCGAGCGGTTTTTGGCCTACGCGGCCTAAATGAGAGTTGAATATCTCATTAATAGGAACTCAACGGTAAAAAGACAGACGAAAACGGAGTTCGTATGTAGAAGTTTTGAATTTTATGCGGACATTTAACAATATACTCTCCTCCTACTGTTAAATTTAAGATCGGTCGAGAATTAGCCGATGGAGTCTAAATGAAAGTTTTAGGTCTTGTTTTTACCTACATGCGGATATAAAGAATATCGAGAGTAGAGCTCGTATGTTAAAGATATGGACAAAACTTGGTCACTACTCTTCGAGCGCGATAAATTCGATACAGTTTTATAAATATGAGATAGAATATGAATTAGCTGACGGCGTCTAAATGAAAGTTGTAGTACTCGTAAACACCAACACGTGGATATAAAGAACGTCAAAAATGGAGTTTGTATGAACGATCTACAAATTATAATAGCATATTTATGTATTAAAATAAAGTATAAATCATATATATATATATATATATATATATACACACACACACACACACACAAATGTATATATCATTAGAAAGGTATCGACAATGCGGTTATTCTAAGACTAGTGTTGAGTACTTTTGACATTAGTTTAGTACAAATATCGTTAAATCTATTTAAATTAGTATTATGAAGGGGTGTTTAGTCGTTTATATAACTATAAGGTCATTAAGTAATTATGGAGGGTAGTTTTTGTAAATTCAACTACTATAAATAAGAGGCTTGGGCTCTCATATTTCTTGCACCATTCTCTTGATTCAAGAGTCTTTCTCTTCTTATCCCCCGAGCATTTTGGTCCCTCGTGATTCGAATTCTCTTTCTGTAGTTTTAGTATAGTAAGGTGAGCGCCGAAGCGCTGCACGAATCTTTCTTAGAAAGATTCAGCGATGAAGTTCTGCCCCTGCAGAGCCCGACTCCTAGCTAAAACCCCTTGTAAGTAAGTTATGCTTACCCTATTTTAAATATACTTTATATTTAAAATTAATATTGTTATTATGAACTTGTAATAAATATTTGAGCTATTATTATGACTTATATAAGTGTCGTTATAATATCTTTTTAACTACTCGCGATACGGGGAATCTGGTTTAAAGGGCCGCATAGTGTTGTTGGATTTCAGAAGTGTTATATGCCAAAATGGTCTTGCCCTCCGGTGTTTTATGTCTGGCCCATGTCTGTACATAGTGGTTGGAAAGTATTGTTTAAACGGTTATATAATAATAATAAGACTAATAATTAGTCACGGTAAATATTAGACTAAAATCTAGTGGTAATAATACTATGTTTCGTCGAAGGAAATTATTTTGAAGTAAACGAAGCGATGTCTGAGTACCGAGTCACCACCTTCTCAGGTGAGTGCATAGTTACTTTCATCTTACACATAGATATGAAATATTTTATATAAATTACGTGTTGTGTGTGCATATTATCTGTATACTTGCTATCTATGTTGGATGAATAATTTTATACATGCTTTAAATGATTTAAACAGTGTATGTATTTTATATATACAAATTGTGTTGGGTAATACATTGGTAGATATAATAGTTGCTGTGTGACCAAATAAAATATTAAAAAATTCGGAGCATTCTAAAAGAATAACAACTATAAATTCAGGTAGAATGTAGTAGACATCAAACAATTGTAATTTATTCTAACAAGATGCATTACTAGTTATTCTGCTTGAATATACTATTGTTATTCCAATAACATGCATTACTCATAATTTTGCTAGAATGCATTACCAGTTAAACAAATATACTTGTTGTTAATAAAACATTCTTAAAAACTTTTTGACATAATGCATTTATATAAATAAATTCTGACAGAATAAACACAAGTTTTAACTTATATTCTAATAGAATTTACAACATCTTTTTTATAAAATAAAAACACCAAAATAACATAACTACACAGATTAACATCAATTCTAAAAAAATATTTCATTTCTATTTGTTGCTTAAACTTCAATTCCTTAAGAAGTCTAACAAAATATTATCTACTTTACTTCTAACAAAATATTTCAACATAAGTATAAACATGTTACCTTAACATATGTTGACAAAATCTTCCCAATAAGTCCAACATATCAAGCTTGCCTCTTTTACACAAAAACTTTCTCTTCTTGACATTATATCAAACACTTGGAAGGCATTTATTATCATCAAACTATATCACACTATTAATTTAATTTGGCAACTATAGCTTGGTCTTTAGGTGCTAGAGAAGGAATGTCTTCAAGAACTAGTGGCTTTCTATAACCTAAGGAAATTAAGGGGTTAACCCAAGAAGATACCAATTTGCTTAAAAACACTAGGCTCTTTTAGTTGAGTGACAAGTTCTTTACCATTTCTCAGAGCACAGAAGAAACGAGAGAAGCTTGCTATCCATTCTATAACCTCCAACACTAAGATGCTGTGTTTCTTTACTAAATTCTCAATTTCTGTGGTGGATATAAACACAAATATTAACATCAACCAAACAGAGACTAAAGTTTTGATGAATTTTGGTCTTTCTACAAGCAATGAAACTATCAAAGTTAATCATATAAGTACTCTACCAATGTTCATCACCTAATCTGAAGAATTGAAGCTCCTAGTTCTAGCACTCACTTCTAATAAACAATGGCCAAGATACGCATCGCCGGTTAGAAAACAACAGATAACGATTGATATAGAAATGCTGTCACTTCTCATGTATCGATTCTCTCCTACTCTACATTTCTTCAGATAAACAACTAAAAAAATCGAACATAACAGTATGAAAAACATCAATTTCAACAAATCTAAGATGATTCGTTGACTTCTTGGTGATTCCAAACCCAACGAGTTCATATAACTTCAAAACTAATCAAAAATTATTTTTTGGAGAAAAATTTGATTTAGGGTTTCCTGTGAATAACAAAAACCGGAATGAAATAACAAGAAGATGAAAAACTCAAAATCGGATATGAAAATCTCATAGACGGGGTGTGTTGGCAGATGACGACAC